CATCATCATCACCATCATCAACATTATCAACACCATCATCATAACTACCATAATATCATGATCACCACCAACATATTACCCGTGTCATCATCATCATCAACATTATCATCACCATCATCATCAACATTATCAACACCATCATCATAACTACCATAATATCATGATCACCACCAACATATTACCCGTGTCATCATCATCATCGACATTATCATCACCATCATCATCACCATCATCATCACCATCATCAACATTATCAACACCATCATCAACATTATCAACACCATCATCATAACTACCATAATATCATGATCACCACCTTAAATTACTCAACCAACATATTACCCGCGTCATCATCAACAACATTATCATCACCATCATCATCATCACCTTCATTGGCGACAAGCTTGCGCCAATACCACGCTTATTTATTCCCTCATACATTTTGGTCACTTTTTCCAGATACTCGCCAAAAAAGTCTACACTCTGTATTCCCTGGCAGTTCAACAACTCTCCAAACAAGATCACTATGACTTTGGTCTCCGTGCTTTGACTTCTGTACTACGCTATGCAGGACGTAAGAAGAGAGCGAACCCTGACATGTCTGATGAAGAGGTATGCGACGATGAAATAGTCTTCGGTTGGAATCAAAATCATGATTCATCAGTCAATAATCAACTCTCTAGGATAGCAATAGGACTCTTTAACTTGGTGTAATGTTTTCCTGTTTAAGACCACGTGTCATTTCCTTGACAATAAGATTCGTTGTTTGAGTCGTATCCATATTCCTGTGTCTTCTCATGCACATCCATTAAACAAAGAAATGATATTCTAGGGAATAACACGTGGTCTGTAATGGGAAAACATTACACCCAAGGTAAAGAGGTCTAAGAGGTCTAACAGTATTGTTTTTGTTGTTTTTCAGATTTTACTGATGTCCATGAAGGACATGAACGTTGCCAAGCTTACCTCACAAGACGCTCCCCTGTTTAATGGGATCGTGTCTGATCTCTTCCCTGGTGTAGAAGCACCTGTTATCGATTATGGAAAGGTAATGCTACTTGTTTTACTGCACTCAGAATCTACGTTGGTTTGTCGAACTGTCTCTCGGCCACCATTTGGACAGGCTAACTGCTCGCCTACCTATCTGTCAGCCTGCATGCCAACTTTGGTGACATCTTTGTCTACCTGTGCCTGCGTCTTCTTACCCGTCTGTCTCCTTTTCTGACTTCCTAACTATCCATCTGGGCTTTTTGACCTGTCTCTCAGTCTGTCTGTGTGTCTGTGTGTATGTCTCCGTCCTTCCGTCTGTCTGTCTGTCACGTCCGTCTGTTTTTCTTGATTCATCATACTTAAATCTTTTCTTGTTCCTATTTAGCTTCGTTCTGCAATAGAGAAGGAGTTAAAGGAAGCTGGCCTACAAGTAACGCCTTCTTCTCTCCTCAAAGTCATCCAGTTATATGAAACAAAGAACTCAAGGTACGTCCTAGCACCCCCCCCCCCCCCGAGAAAATTAGCTTGAGGAAAAACAAATTTCAGAATAACTCTTGAAGGACTCGAAACGTCGGGGGGGGGGGGGAAGTCGTTCATTTTATAATTTAAGAATGTTTACAAAATATTTACGTCTTGATCAACTGTATTTTAGTGAATGCTGGTTATAATGGACCAATTCCACTTGGGCGTAATGTTTTGCCCATTTCAGACCACGCGTCAGTTTCTTGAGAATAAGATTCTTTGTTTGAGTCGTGTCCATACTCATGTGTCTTCTCATGTGCAACCGTTAAACAAAGAAATAAAACTCTAGGGAATGACACGTGGTCTGAAATGGGAAAACAGTGGATCAGATCTTTTGACATACCAGTCGTTAGATTTACGTGTACTCATTTGTTACCGTTTTGGTGCCGTAGTTGTTACCGATGATGCTGTTGCTACCATTGTTTCTCCTGTTCCTACCGTCGTCGAGCTTCTCGTATCATTCTATCGCTATCATGATTTAGAGTCTAGGCAGCTATGACTTATTTTCGTACTGGTATTGTTCTTTCACAGACATTCTACTATGATTGTCGGTCAGACTGGTTCTGGTAAAAGTGTGTGTTGGAAAATCTTACAATCAGCAATGACAAGACTGAAGCGTGATGGTGAATCTGGTTACAACGTAGTCAGGGTAAGGCACCACTAAACACATATCAATGATAGATTATCGACCCATCATTAGGACGTACGGTGGGGGGAGGGTGTGGGTGGATTGTGCCGCCTTCACCGCTGTGGTCATGGGTCAATCCCTTGCCTTGTCTGTGAACACGTATGAGGATTAGACTTGTTTATTGGTTCTCACGCGCTTCAAGGGTTTTTTCACAGGTTCTCCGGTTTTCCTCCCTTTCAACTTAAATCATTTTCTTTGGGGTATTTTTCAATTTCTCTGCGCTGCAATTGCAATTTCCCTGCGCTGCTGGTTCTCTCATACGCTTAGACGTTTTTCTCCAAGTTCTCCGACACTTCCTTTCGGGCTCGTCGTAATTGTTCTATGCTGTAACGCAGTCCTCGCCATCATGGTAGACGTTCAATAAATAAAATCATTTCTTTGACGTTATTTCATCTTTTGGTGGTTTTCAGGAGTTTCCAATCAACCCTAAGGCTCTGTCCCTTGGTGAGCTTTACGGCGAATTTGACTTGAACACTAATGAATGGACTGATGGTGTACTATCTAGTGTCATGAGGCAGACTTGTGCCGGTAAGATACAGCTGATCAGTGATTTATGATATAATGAAGTAATATATAAAGCGATTAGAAAAGGTGCAATCTAGTTTCCAGAGCCCTTGTTTGTTACTGCGTCGAGAATGCGTAAGAGTAAGAAAAGGGGGAGAGAAGAGGAGAGGAGAGGAGGGAAGAAGGAAGAATAAGACAATGGAGTAAAGACATTGAGAGATTGGAGTGGATAGGGCAAACAAGAAGTAGAAGAGAGGCATAGAGGAAAGATAGAAGGAAGAACAGTTGGGGACAGTTTCGAGGAACCGGAGAGTCAAGGAAGGGTAGGTAGTTCAAGAACGAAAAGGAAGATAGGAAGAATAAGAATAAGAATGAGAAAGATGGGATAGAGTAACTGTCAGACTGTATTATATTCTTGTAGACGAAAAATCGGACGAGAAGTGGATATTATTTGATTCTCCTGTCGACACGTTATGGATCGAGTCCATGAACTCCGTTATGGATGACAACAAGGTGTTGACCCTCATCAATGGTGAACGTATCAGTATGCCAGAACAGGTAATAACTACCATCTTATCGCCCGGTCTGTCTGTCTTACTGTCTGTCTGTCTGTTGTCTGTCTGTTGTCTGTCTGTTGTCTGTCTGTTGTCTGTCTGTTGTCTGTCTGTTGTCTGTCTGTTGT